GGGTGGCTAACACGTGGCACTATGGAAAATGTTTAGCATATGTCAAGCAACAAAAGTGTCATACAAAACGAAATCATTGTATAAACGCGCACGTAGAGAAAAATGAAAGAAAAAGCACCGAGGGTGGTAGCATTGACTGTCTTTGGGAAACACAGCCCGCAGAATTCTGAGAGAAGCCTGCCTGTTGGTTTCAGCTAATCCAGACACCATAACAGTGACCCCAGCTGTCAGGAAGACCTGCTCCGTGCCGAGACCTGTCTGTAACAATACCTTCAGGGGATTCGCAGGGAATGACTGGACCAAACTCCAGAAGGAAACGTAGGTAGAATTTATGCACTTGGGTATGAACATATACAAACATCAAGAGTATAAGAGAGTGGGGTTTGTAATCAGTTCTTGCTTTCTCCCTTCAAAAGAAAGGAAGATGACTACAGCCAGGTATTTTCTGTTCTACACTCTGCTCTGCTCTGATGTCCCACATTTTGTTGGTCCTTTCCTGGGGGTGTTTCTTTCTAAGTCATGGGCCCCAGCTAGCCCATAGGGTCCTTTTGTGTGAACTAGGGAAGGATGCCTCTTCTGGACAGATGCAGCCTGACAGGCACATAGTGTGGTGAGTGAAAGGCAGACTGGATTCCAGTCCCCACTCGTCCCTCAGGTGGGCACCCTTGTGCAGTGGACAACCTGCACAACTGTACCTGCCTGTGTACCACACAAGCTGTTCAGAAATCAGACACTGTAGAAAATATTTTAACTGTAGAAACTGTCTTATCTGAACATAAAGTTCATCCTGTTAGTCCAGGTTCTTTCTCCAGGTGATTCTTTCTGAGCCTAGATCTCCCCTTAATATTGACTGCACCCTACATCTGCTGGCTTTAGACTTTAACTCAGGGAAAGGCTGCCTTTGATGCAAGCCTCTGGGCTGCTCTTTGGGGTGAGGGCCCAGTATCCACATTTGGGGGTGGGTAATTAGGTTTATTTATTTTAATAGAGGTACTGGGGATTGAACCCAGGACCTTGTGCATGCTAAGCATGCCCTCTACCACGGAGCTATACACCACCACCACCAACCCCGCTGCCAGTATCCACATTTTCTTTGTTGACTATATTATCTCCCCAAGGTGGGTATTTAACATCGCTTTGGGCTGGACTGATGATTCTCACTGGGGGCCTACCCTGAAATGGCATTATTCTGTGTGCAAGGTGGTGACTACCTATTGCAACGCCAGTAAACACCCGCATCATTCAGAAGGGTTACTCTGCAACCACCTCATCCCAGCATCATGCCAGCCATGATGGGGAGCTGGGACTGTGGGGAACCTTTTTTCTTTTCTCCAAACTTTCTATAATGCCATATTACGTTTACAGCATGAATTATTTTGATTAAACCGAACAAAACATAAAGAAACACTCTCTTGGGATAGAATTATTCAACCTGAAGAAATCTACCTGACTACAGGTATTGTCTAGAGCCAGACTGCCTGGAACCAAATCTTACTCTGCCACAAATTAGCTGTCATCTCGGGGAGCTCATTTAACCTCTTGGTGCCTCAGTTTCCTCATTCACAATGTGGGGATAATAATAGTATCTGCTTCAAAGGGTTGTTGTGAGAACTAGGTGAATTAATATATGTAAAGCTCTTGAAATGACTCAAGAAAGACAGTCAGTGCTATGGGCGTGTTTCTCTCCAAGAGGAGAAACTCAGTCAAATGCCTGTCGACATCCAGATTTCTCTCTCTCCAGTCTTCCCAGGTATCTGCCCTCAGAATCAATTCCAATGTCTTTGGGTTCATTTTACATCTTTTCTAGTGTCTTTATCAAAGCCCCTAGAACAGTGTCCCTCATTCTGGGCTCTGATGGTAGCCCGTGTCTACCTGCCCAAATAGGAGCGCTCCCAGTAGGCAGGGATCTCCTCCTTCATCTCTGCATCCCTCATGGCAGCATGAAACCTGGTACATAGCCAGTGCTCCATCAGGGACTGTCGGCGAGTCAGTGGCTGCATGACCAAGTGCATCCTTTCCCCGTCTTCACCCCCTACCTCCCTCCTGGCACCAGTAGGTCCTCACACTTTTGATTGAATTGAACTCAACTTATTCTGAAGTTTGAGACTAGACATTCTCACTGGGTGGGTGTCTTGGAGCCCCCTGAAGGCTACTGGATTTTTTCCCAACGTGTACAATAAAATCCTCAAGGTGGAGTGGTCCTTCCTGCCTTCCCAGATCGTCTGAATGCCTGGTAGAGATGTGTCCAGGAGTCTCCGACCCACCGCAAGTTGTTCCCAAGTAGTTGGCAGAGATGTTGCAGATTTAGATGATCCCGCCGAGATACCCACTGCCCACCTTTCTGGAAACATCTAGGGTTTCTCTCTGGTGCACTGTTCTCCTGAGTGATAATTCTAGAAACCCATTCTTTGTCTTTGGCAATAACAACCCAATTCCCAAGACTCCAAATGGAAAATAACAGCCTTAATTTCCAGACTCCTGGAGGGGAAAAAGCCAGACAGAACCCTCCCAGCTGTTGAGGTTCTGTCAGCACCAGGCCAAATGCATCGAGCCCAAATGACTACTTGAAGCATTATTAGAAATCAGGTTGCCCCATCATCACAATTCTCCCTGAGCTGAGAGGCTGGGAAAAAATAAGGCAGATTGTGTGCTGTGTGCAAAAGCTGGACCAGGGAGCCTCTGAGATTAATTACAGCCGGCGAGTCCAACGTCTGGGAGCCCCTGGGAAGCGCTATCTGGGGGAAGCATAAATCAGGCTCCCCTAAAGGAGCTGGAGATGCGCTCCATTCCACTGTGCAAACAAAATTAACGCTGCTTATCAAAGCCCTTCCTCATCAATATAAAGTTGGATTTCTATTAGTCACCAAGGGCCATTTTCCTAGATGCAAACGGACTTACTGAGCTGGATGATTTTTAGTGCAACATCTGATGGAGGTTCTGGGGAGCAGACAGCCCTTGCTGGTATATTTAACAAGCACTGGGGCTTTTTCCTTTGGCTCTGAGGCTAAGCTCATTATCCAAGGAACAAATGGAATATGAAGGCTGCCTCAGTGCTGCCAGAGACCATTAAAAAATTTGCTATGAAACAAAGTTGGTGCATCATTCAGCTGTGCAGAGGAGAAACTTGGAAGCAGAGGCGGTAGAGGGCTGGGTCTCCATCCCTGGCACCTGTTACTTGGTTCACTCTGTCATTTTCTGCAAACTCATGCTCCCATCTCTCACCTTTTCCACCACCTGATATTCAGCCTGAACTTGCAGACAGAGTTTCCGAGCCCTCTCTGACTCCCATCCCACAGAACCATTCTAACTCAGAAGCAACTCCTAACCAAAATGTCCAACTGCTTTTTTTCACCTTCACACTTTAAACAACATGACAAGAACCACCTGACATCTTTCTTTCTTAATTCATGTGCCTCAAACTCAGTCAACTTCGTACCTTGTGAACTTCTTAGCAACCCTGACTCTCCCAAACTTGCTCTCCCTCCTGGGTTGTCTCGCCCAAAGCCAGAACCCTTAGAGCCATTATAAGCTCCTCCCTCCACGTCAGGGCTTCTCCATCCCACTGGCACGTGAGGATCACCTGGGTCCTTTTGAGAATGACCTGTGTCGCCTGCACCACCCCAGACCAACTCAATGAGACTAAGAGCTGGGTCTGGGCATCAAAGCCTCTCCAGATGATTCTCTACTTCTCACTCACCCCTCTCCCCGACCCCTCCCCAGGCACCAGGCGATGTAGAGCTCACCTCCTGGCTTTCCTCCACTCTCTGTCCCCTCCCCCCACCTCTGCCATTCCTTCAGACAGTCTGCATTTCTCACCTGGATTATGACAAGAGCATTTCTAATTGGTCCCTCCCAACCCCGAGTCAGACCCTCTGCCATTTCGCCTCTGTTTGCTGCCAGAATGATTTTTCTCCAGTGCACAACAGATCTTGTCACTGCCTTTCTCTCCATCCCTCCCTTCCTCTCCCCAATTTTCTAAGCATCCATTATGACCAGACACTGTTTTAGGTCTGCAGAATTATAGGGTTGAACAAAAAGACATCTTAGTCTCTGCTCTCTTAGAGATTGTATTAATATTTGCTCAGAGGAAATGCTAAACTTCAAACTACATCAGGAATTGTTTAATGACAACTGTGGTTCAGGCCTGGAAGAAGTAAAAGGTAATATGAGAATGTTTTCCCTGCTGAAAATCTCCCAGCAGCTCACATACAAGACCCCTGGCTGAGGATTAAATTTCAGTTGTCCTCATTCTCACTATGCTCCTTAAAGGCCATCTCACCAAGTAATTCCTTCTCTGAATATACAATGCTCTCATGCATGAGCTCTCTGCTGCCTGGACTTCTTTCCTCTACTTCTCTCATCTAACTCAGATGTCACCTCCTCCAGGAAGCCTTCCCTGATATCCCCAGTGTGGATTAGTTGTCCTTCTGCTGTGCTCCCAGACCTCCTTCTGCCAGAAATTATCATGACACGTTCCCTATCCCATTGTGGGATGTCTGTTACATGTTATGCACCTGCCGTGGCCCCCGAACAACCGCAGGACTGGGAGTGCCCCAGAACAAGACAGTCTTTTCATCTGTGGTCCTAATTCAGATCTGAAACATACTCAGAAAATGAATGAATGTAAAGTAAGAAGCTAACAGTATCTGATTAGCAAGAACACTGAGAAAAGTCTAAGGAAAGGGAAAATTTTTATTTACTTATCTTTGAGATTTTACCAAAGTTCTAGAGATTGGGAGAGTGAGTCACTGGCCCCTCTGCCTCTCACAGGAATGCTATAGCTGAACCCTGTCAAGCATTTAACCAGGAGGTGGAGAAGTTAACACACAGAAGGGAGAATGAATAATCTAATAATATTTGTGTCTTGGATCTCATATTACTACAAGTTGTATTTATGATAAGTAAATTGAGTTATTAAAAATCAAATCTGATCTAAATAGTTTGGAAGACTTGCTCCCTGGTGTCAAAGCCTCACTGATGTAAAGAAACCCCTGGGACAGCGGCACAGTGCTGGTTCGTGGCACTGCGGGGCTGGAGCCAGAGAGTCGCAGCTCTGACAACAGATGCTAACTGGCTGACAGCAGAAGAGAGCAACCAAGTTGTACCTGACCTTAAAGCAGCAGGATGGTCTGAAGTAAGTGACAGAGATGCCACGTACAAAGAGTTGTCTTTCAAAAATGTTAATCAGGCATCTGGCTTTATGTCCCGAGTTGCCCTACAAGCAGAGAAGATGAATCATCACCCGGAGTGGTTCAATGTGTACAGCAAGGTCCAGATAACTCTCACATCACATGCCTGTGGCGGGCTGACCAAGAGAGACGTGCAACTGGCCAAGTTTATCGAAAAAGCAGCTGCTTCTGTGTGATCTCTTCCAAAATGCATGTAAAATCTTATGTACATCTTAGCTCCGATGTATTTTGAAGGCAATTTAAATGAAAAAACTAAGTTGTACATTTAGTTCACCTTTTGAAGCATCGCATTTTGTAAAATCAGTGCTTAAAAAATAAGATTGACAAACTTGAAAAGAAACAGAAACCCCTAGGATAGGAGTGGGACAGTCCCTTTAAAGCCACCATCCTTGACAACAGGTTACCATGTATATGAGAGCACTTTGTAAACTGTAGGTGCTAAACAAATGCAAAATGTCATTCATGAATTCACTCCTAAAGCAAATAAGTGAGCACACCTCTTATGTAATTACCCCTGTTTAACCACCGGAGTTGCTTAGGCCAGGACCAACTCTTGCCCTAATAGGCTGGCTGAAAAGTCACCCAACCTCTGGTTTTGCCACTTGCGGCAACACCTGAGATGCTGGGGGCAGAATTAACCTTTGTAAGGACAGCAGGATGGAGGTCTGTCCTGCAAGAGCTAAGGGCAGCAGGGGGCTCAGAACAGCAGACACGCCATCTCAGTGACCAGAGAGGATGAAGCAAGGGGACCTCCTTTCCCCTTTCCCGGAACCTACCCTGACCAGAGACTTAGCAGCCAGCTCACCCTCTGCTCCCCTCCCTGAATCCACCTGGAGCCTTCTCCATCAGGCAGTATGACCCAGGACTTGGTGAATAGTTTCTAAGCACAGTTTCTTGATGTTGATAAGACAACAGATAAAGTGCTGTATTTGAAACCTGGGTTGTTTTCGTGTTGCCTGTAGCGCTGAGTCTGCTTATGCCCTGCTTTACCCTGCCAGGGGCAGAGGCGAGAAGCCAGCCAGAGGGCTCGGGCCTGGGTTCCAGGGCTGCCCGCTCTGCACCACTGTGGCTCCTGTGCACACCGTGTCCTTCCCGAGCCCCTTTCTCTGCAGCCGGTGGGCCTGACATCAATCCCTGTCCTCAAAGAATTCTGAGCGAGTTGCAAAGACACAATGTCCATGGGAGTTAAATGGAGGATTCTTTAACCAAACTAGTATCTAGAGTTCAAAGGGGATATGAGCCAAGTGGCCCACGTGAGGTCACAGAGGGACACCGGGTGTCCAAGTAGGGCCACCAAGTGAAGGGCGTTAAGTCTCTGTTTGTGTCTGGCTGGAGAATGTCAAACGTGGTCACAATGGAAAAGACACAGTTGTGGGGATCAGGCCAGCGTGAGCATGAGCCGCCAGCTCCACCCCTCTGCCACCAACCAGCTCTGTGGCCATGCAAGCCACTGGGCCTCAGTTTCCTCACCTGTGATATGGACAGCATCATAGCGCCTGCTGCCTGGGTCTACTTCTATATGAAATGGGAGAACGGGGGTGGAGGCTTGCCTCTGTGGGGTACCACGTAAAAGGATCAACCCCACCCCTGAGAAATGAGGGCAGGGGAAGGTGCTCAAAGTGCAGCCCACCGCTGAGGTGGGCAGTTTAACCACGGAAACAGAATCTATTGTTCTTGCCTTCTTAGAGATTTTAGCCGCCCTCCCAGGCAGATGCTCCAAATCTATTTCTCATCCGACTAGTTTAGGAAATGCTGAGAACTGGGCTATATGGTTTCTTTCTTTTCTCTTGACAGAGAACAAATTAACCCGGCTTAGGAATAGTTCCTCCAGTTACGTCCTGGGGGAGGAGGAGGAGGCGCCAAAGTTTGGAACTAGGAGGGGCTGGCCGACCTCAGATGCAGCCTGGCCTCTGCAGGAGGGCGGCTGGAAGAACTGCCCGAATCCACTGCCAAAGCCCGGGAGCCACCCCAGCCCTCCGGCCCGCCCGCTGCGGACCCACTTCAGGAGCACCCTCGGTAGTCCTCTCAGCCTCCCTTTTCACTCGGTTGTTCAGGACCAGATACTGACTTGATGCTGCTGTACCCAGCAAATAAACAGGGCGTGCCAGGCAGGAAATGCGGCGGGGTGGGGGAGCGGTGTAGAATTTTAAAGAGTCAAGAGAGGAGGCTGAGTTAGGAAGCAGCAGCTGAGTGAAGGCCTGTGGGGTTGGGGGAAGCCCAGAGATATTGCCCTGAGGAGGGCCAAGTCCCCAGGAATGGCTTTGTGGAAGGGCTGCCCATTCTCCTTGACTACAGAGGGCCAAACAGGTATAACCTCATGAGACCTGAGACCCTATTAAAACCTCCGTCTCACAGATGGGGGACTGAAGCCCAGACAGAGGAGGAACTTGCTCAAGGTCCCCTAACCATTAAGGAGCAGAGCTGGGATTCGTCCACCTGCACACTTAACACAACACTGCCCCGCCGCCCTCCCACCCCTACCCCCAGAGCCTGGGTTGAGACATGCCTCCTGACACCCCATGCGCAGATGCCACATGTGGCAAAGGCAGGAGTGAAAACCTCTTCTAGTTGAGGTTATCAAGGAAAGCTTCCTGGAGAAAGAGGCATGTGGGACAGGCCTTGAAGGCTGTGTAAGATTCAAGGGTGAGAGATAAATGAGCTTATGTGGGAGAAGTGGACAAATGCATGGAGCTGAGAAAGGCATGTGGGAGGCAGTGAATATGCCCATTTTATAGGAATCACATGCAGGAACAGGGGGACCTATGAGACAGGAAGGAAGGGGACAGGGCACAGCCATTCAGGGAATAACACAACAGTTAACACCAGGATGGTGAAAGATTCAACCCTGAGGAGGCCTTGAGGCTCAAGATGGTGGGAGATTTAACTTCTAGTAGACCTTGAGCTTCATTGTACACCCATTGTAATATATCAGCATGGTGAATAACATGCCCACAGGCGCCATGACAGTCCCCAGGCTAGCCACAACAGGTCAGAGTGGGAAATGGCCAACTCCCTGGGAATCCCAGCCCCTTCCCCAGGGTAGTTAGACTGGTCCTCCCGCTTATTAGCATATGAAGCTACGGAGCCCATAAAAACTGGCAACACAGCACCTTGCAGCCGCCTGTCTCCTTCTCTCCCTCCTCTTAGGAGACAGCCCGCACTCTGTCTATGGAGTGTGTACCTACTTTTATTCTAATCTGAGCACCCAACCCCTACACCTCGTGGCCTTTCTCTTGCTTTTTGATGTATCTCTCTAAATAAATCTACCTTTACTCAACTGTGGCTCGCTCTTGAATTCTTTCCTGCATGAAGCCAAGGACCAACACTAGGCGGGGCTCGTCCCAAAGGCTCAGCTGAGGCCTGAGACACCGACCTCCTCACGCCCCACAGCCGTTTCTCCTGCATCACTTTGGCTGGGAAGGGGGTGGGCGAGGTTGTGAAGGGCTCGAGCAGAAAGCAGACCTACTGTTGGTTCCTCATCTGATCGTTCGTGTCCACTTCTGCCTGAGATTTGTCGTGTCTGTGGACAGCAGCAGCTCCCGAATTTCCACAGGAGGGTTGTCCTCACCTCCATGCTGCCCTTCAGTGCTGCCACCGTCCATAGGGAGTGTTCTGTGCCCAGACTTGCCAACAGAGCCTGAGCTGGGCCCTAAACAAGGGCTGGTTCCTCAGAACATTCAGGGCCAGACAGGCTGGGGGCAGAGGGGTCTAAGCAGAGGCCTAGGATCCCAAGTTGCCATGGGAACCCTCCAGGAGGACGGAGCGGGGCGTTGGCTGTGCCCTCTGCCTGTGGGTGCCCAGGATTCTGGGCGGTAACGTGGCAGTGCGGTTCTGGGGGTGGGCCGGCTCAGGGGCTATGCTGAGAAATGTAACTTCCTCGCCTGTAGTCGGTAAGAACAAGGAATGGTAGAGAGGAGGCTCTCTGGATGCTCATCTCCAGTCGACTGGCATTGACACCGTAGCCTTGTGCCGCCAGAGGCAGGGGTGAAGAAGCGCCAGCCAAGGGCTTCCTCAGCGCCGGCCGGGCTCCTGGCTTCAGAAGAAACCCATGTGCCAGCGCTTAGCTCGGAGCCTGGGAGAGCCGCCTCCACCTGGGGTGTTCCCCCGTCTCATGCTCCCCTCTGCATTTCCTCAGAATCATCCTCCCGACCAGGAGGCTGCTTTCTTGCCGCTCAGGCTGCTGGCTGCCTCCCCCGGTGGAGAATCTCCCAAGGCTGTGGGCCCGACAGGCCCAGGTGTCCTCAGGGTGTAGAAAGCTCTCCTCAGCTGGCTGGTCCTCCTCAGACACACCTCAGACCCGGGGGTGGCAGAAGCTCTGAGTCAGGGGGAGGCCACTGGGGGGAAAGGGGAAGAGCAGCTCCCAGGGGTCCTGTGGACCCCCCACCCACACACACACATACACACACACGTTTCCTTCTCAGTGTACAAAGCCACACCCCTTCGACCCATAAACCAGACCCCAAAGTAGCAGAGTTGACATCTCTAAGATAAGCTGTCTCCCCCAAATCATGATGGTCAAAATCTCACATTACAGGTTTCTCAGCCAAATCGGCCTTCACCACCAGAACTGCCCCAACCATGGCCTTTCAAGAACCTGCCTTCTCGGCCTCCGCTCCGCTCCCATCCTCACTCACCCCGTCCCACCCTGACCTGGGGCCACAGTGTCTGTGGTGAGGCCTCCTCCCCTCCCAAGTGGCTTCGGGAGCAGTGCTGTGATTGCCCTCCAGGCCTAGAATAAACTTTTGCTGAGGAAGGGGGTCCTGGAGCTTTTGCCTTATATTTACAGGAGTTTCCTTTGGGTTCAATGCTTCATAAAGGCAGAATGTCCAGTTCTGCACCCGTGGCTGAATGAGGTTGGAGGACAAGACCTTCGAGCTCTCAGCAAAGCCCCCTCCCCCTGCCTGAGTGACCTCTTCTAGAGTCTTCTGTTCTCTCGGTCTCAGTGCTTACTTCACGCCTCAGTTGACAAGGGAAGGAAGTATCCAGGAGCTTTGGAGTCAGCTGAGCACAGTTTGGGTTTGAATCCTGTTCCCCTGTATAATCCTGGCCAGTTATCTACATTTCTGAGACTCAGTTTGTTTGTCTGGATAATGGGCCTAATAAAGCCTACCTGAAAGTCTGGCGTGAGGAAGACGTTAGAAGGGAAACAGCACATACAGAGCCTATCCAGAGCGGGGCAAGGAGCAGTTACCTACATATGTTGT